ACGTAGAAAAGTGGGATTGAGTTCCGAATCATTCTGCTTGCCTTGAGCTTCAGATGGCGGATATTTTAGTTCGGACTCAGTCTGTGAATCGTCATTCCTGAAAAATGGATCAGTTTGCACTGCTAATGAAACCATACCAAGTTTAGACATGGCGTCTTCAAATTTCTTTATTTTACTCCTAAGTTCTCTGTTTGTAACTTCAAGCCGTTCAATTTCTCCAACATAGCGATCTTCAGCAATCTGAACATCATCCATGAAATCCTGTGTAAGTCTATGTTGTTTCTTTAAAAGTTTCTCCAGCTGTGCGATGTTAGCAAGGGCCTCCCTCAACTCGATTTTCAGGCTCTCAATTATGTCATCCTTAGCAGTCTCTGTTTGCTGGAAGGATAAATCCTTTGAGTTAATTTCCATCTTGAGTTTCGAAATTTTCAAATTTAAATCCTCTGTTAAGTTTTCTTTTTCCAAAATTGTTCTCCGGCATTCGTCCGAGCAGACGATTCGATGTGCATCAATCAGCTCAATAGCCCTAATACGCCCTCCACAACTTTAATGGAAGACATTGTAACAATTGGTACAGACAAGACTGTTGAAAGGCTTTCTGCAGCATTTGAAGAAAGATGCGGATGTCATAGTAAAAACCAGGACCTCACAGAAAGCGTTATAACAACGGCAACGTCACAATTTGCAAAAGTCGGCCTAACAAGCAGTCACAAAAAAAAAAAAAAAAAAAAAAAAACGAAGAGAAATAAATTTCCCTAAAAAGCAGATGCCCATAAATATGATCAAACTATAAACCTTGAACTCTGAATACCGAGGGATCCGCCACTTTGTAAAAATGTGTACACGTATTGCGAAAATGTCGGTATTTCGGAAGTATTTCGCGAAATTCAAAGTATTTCGGTGGTGGTAATTCGAACTAATTTTTTGTGGTATTGACGAGTACTTCGGAATATTTGCAGGTACTTCAGAGTATTTGCAGGTAATTCGAAGTATTTCGAGGTATTGGAAGTATTTCGCGGTAAGCCGAGGTATTTAGAGCTATTTAATTTTTTTTTTATGTGCCAAGAACAATTATTAATTAATAATAATAAACTTTATTAACGGACAAGCCATTTACAGTAAATAACATAATACAAAAATATATGACGTTATAATATTAACGAAAAACACAAGAACTTAAAATTTAACATTTACGGTACATATAAATACACTGACATTTAGCGCTGCAGACTATTTAACAAATGTTTACAAGTTTTCAGAGACATGCCAAAAAAATCAAAATTGTTGGGTAGCTGATTAGCTTCTCTGCATATTCTAGCCATAGGGCAGAAAAAACCATAATTAGTCCTATGATACTCGCTATGAAAAAGATGCACTTGCCTAGTCTGTCTCACAGGGGCACGCAGGGAAATGCTGTTCAACAAAGGGGGACAGTCAATTAAGTTATTAAGCAACTTGAAAAGTAAACAAATATCATAATTCCTTCTACGTGCCTCTAAACTAGAAAGACCCAGCAACCGCAACAGGTCATTGTAGCAGACCTCTTCTGATGGTATATGCATCTTATAGGCAATATACCTTAGAAACCGTTTCTGAACTCTCTCAACACAATTTATATGGACCCCATAATGTAGTGACCAAATTGGGGTAGCATATTCCAAAAGGGATCTCACTACAGAACAGTAAACGCTCCTTATAGTAAAAATATTATTAAAATCTTTGAGGGTGCGAAATATAAATCCCAAAAGTTTCATTGCCCTATTACAAATATTCTCAATATGTAAGTTAAATGTTAGGTCCTGTCTAAATGTAACTCCCAAATCCTTAATAGAGTCCACTCTTTCAACTACTTGATCATTTAATTTATATTCATAAAAAATTGATGCATGAGATTTAGAAAAGGTTATGGTTTTACATTTATTTAAATTAAGGATTAGGTCATTCAGGTGACACCACAGAGCAAAACAATTCAGGTCTAGTTGTAACTGCTTACAGTCTGATATGCACTTAACAGGCCTATACAACTTCAAATCGTCTGCATACAACAATATGTCACTGTGATGGATAAAATCTTCAACATCATTAATATAGCAATTAAATAGCAAGGGAGAAAGATGTCCTCCTTGAGGAACACCAGATATGACATTTATTGGAAATGAAATAAAATTTTTAATTCTGACGTATTGTACTCTACCGCCCAGAAAGCTATTTATCCATGCCAAAAAAGTCCCCCGAATGCCCAAGGCCTCTAATTTTTTTGTAAGTATAGATATTAACCTTATCAAAAGCCTTACTGAAGTCAGTGCTGATGGAATCTACTTGAGTTCCCAATTCTACAGCATTAACAAGATTATCTTGATATAATAAGAGGTTAGAAATAGTTGATTTTCCTTTAATGAATCCATGTTGAGCAGTCGAGAGAACATTTCTAAAGCATGGGGAGATTTTTTCAGTCACAATACACTCAAAAACCTTTGGAATAACCGACAATTTACTTATTGGGCGATAGTTTGATATGTCTGCTTTATTGCCAGCTTTAAAAATAGGCGTAAGAAAACTTTCCTTCCATTTTTCAGGAAAAATACCCTTTGACATTGACTTATTAAATATTCTGACAAGAACTTCAGACAAAACACATTTAGAATTTTTTAGAAAGTAAACTGGAATGCTATCTGGCCCGCATCCCAAACCATCATCCAAATTACCTATACAATTAAATACATCCATCAAACTTATATTACAAAAAAACAAATCTACAGTGTTAGAATACTGGAAATCAATGTATTTCTCTCTATGATTTACATATGCCAACGAGAAATGTTGCGCAAATAAATTAGCAATTTTTTGAGGGCAGTCCGATTTCTCCTCACCATAAAACATATATTTAGGCAGTTCAGTACTATCCTTTTTGGAATTTACATATCTCCAAAAGTCCCTTTTGGATTGAATATTATTCTCGAGTTCATTTATATAATTAATATGGCTATCTTTTACTAGTTCTTTGCATTTTTGCCTAAGGTTTGAGAAATTCTGATAGTCGACTAATGAGTTGGACTGTTTGTAAGATTTATGCGCAACCTTCTTCATCAAAACATGTTTCTTTAAATCATCACTAAACCAAGTGGGAAATTTTAGGTTTTTAGCCCTACATCTTGGAACAAACAATTCAATTGCCACATTTAGTACATTATAGAACAATTCGACTACTACATTAATATCATCATTATTATATATAAAATTCCAGTCTACATGTGATAAGTACATATTTCTATCAATGAAATTTGCTAGCCTGAAATTAAAATATTCAAAATCATATTGCATGACTTCACTTGGAGGATTCAACCTAACAAGGAACTGCAATACTGGATGATGCGAATCACAACCAAGCAACGGTTGGTCAACAGCCGAAACATTGGTTACCTCACTACTAAAAATTAGATCCAGAAGTCGACCCCTTGCATTGGCAATAGCATTTATTTGTTTTAAATTAAAAAATGCCATAATGTGAGACAAACACACCACCTGCTGTGTTACAATCCCATGAGGAGTTGCACCATAATCATCATTCGACCAGAAAGTATCTGGTAAATTAAAATCGCCACAAATTATAATATCACAATCATCACTTATGTAATCTTGCAAAACAAATGATGCAGATTCAGAAAGAGCTTCATATACTTTGAGAGAAGATGCTGGGGGTATATATGCACAACCAATTATTAATTTTTTGGATCCTTTTAAAATTATAGAAACAAATACATGTTCAATACTTTTTACAGGTGAATCTAACTGTAAAGCGGATAAGTTTTCTTTTACGGCAATTAAAACACCACCTCCTCTCGAATGTGAGCTAGTATTATGTGATCGATCACACCTAAATATTTGATAATTAGCCATACTCTATCACCTAAAATTTAAATATTATAGAATGAAAATTATAGTCCATCTTCGAACAGACTTAATACGTTGACATAATTTGGATTTACTGCAGATTTTGGTTCAGACGATTTTTTGGTACCATTTTTAATTCTCCAGAAAAAAATATTCCAATAGGGAACTTGCACATTAAATTAAATATGGAATAAATAATAAAACACAATGGCAATCATCTTAATAAATGATGCAATTAGGAAAAAATAATAATATCTTATCTCTGGTGTCCAAAATCTTCAATTGAAAATACCAAATAATTCGAAATTCATGACGCCATCGAAAATGTGTTACTATGGGTCGTGACGTCACAAGGCAATTAACGGCTGATTTTTAATGCTTGATATTCGGCATGACTATGTCTTTAGTGTAGTAGAACACATTTTTGAAATAAAAAAAAAATTTGCAAGTTCCCTATTGGCTACATATTTTAATTTTCTCAAAATAACAGGGAAAGTCAAAAATTGCCCCTGTTCAGTCCTTGTTGAATGACTTAACCTGTACCTAAGAGCATTGTATAACTAACATTCACCTGCAACTTTCGATTTAATTGCTGTTTGTGTGTCCGAATATAATCCATTATATCAACAGAGACAAAAATTCCAGCAAAAATTCTTCACTGCGATCCACAAGAAGAATCGTTATAAAATAAACAAGAATTTTTTTAGAAGTATTGCGGGACTTCGCGCGGTAATTCGAGGGTATTTTGGGTACTTCGACGGTAATTCCATGGGATTTCGCGTACTTCGACGGGAATATCTTGTATTTCGAGGTACTTCACGATATTTCTAGATATTTCGAAGGTAATTCGGGTCAAGTGTACACGTATTTCGGGAAGTGGTTGACCCCTCGAGCAATACATATAATCATCTTTACTGCTGAAAGATAATAATGAATGTAATTTTTTTAACAATACAAAGGTAAATTCCCCAAAAATTGAGAATTTTTACCTATTATTTTTTTAACAATCTTGCAAGATAATTTATACATTGTTGCCAACAACTCCTCAATTTCTTGAAAAAACGATTTTGACACTATTTAATTTTTATTAATAGAAATAAAATTCTTACCTTAAAACTACTATGAACCAAAGTCTCGTCCAAATCGATGACCATGCACTTTTTCTGAGAATCCTGATGGCGGGCGGGCGGCAACAGAAACGACACCCTGTCGCCGCTGGGCGCGTACTGCGACCCGTCTACGCACTGTTCAGGACCGCCTTGACTTTTACTTTTCCGTTTGCCCAAACAGCACAGTAACGATCTGAGAAAACCGCGAGTGTTTTTCTTTTGTGACGGTGCCGTTGCCGGTTCCGGGTACTCATTGTTCGGTGTCGTTTGCGACGAGGCGTTTTCGTTTACCACCGGTTGATTACCTAAAAAATAATAACAAAAATAGTCTCTATCTCTATTGATTTTTAAAAGAGAGAAGAAGATAGCAAGTGTTATAGGGATGGTGTCCCAGCCCAGGATTTCAACTAGCAAATAAAAAAAGCAATTAAATTTTATTACTTATAAGTGAAAGTTGGTATTTTTTAAATAAATAAACCATAGCCCTACATGACCTAGATATTATAATCAAATTCCGGCAATAAATTTTTACAGATAAAAGTCAAGGAAAACTAGATTTTTCACCCACTTGACGTGCTTAAATAACACGCCTACAAGTATTTTTTCTTAGAAAATTATGGTTTTTCAAATGAAAATTTTATAAAGTTAACTTGAGGAACTTTCTCAAAACCCTTTATTTATCAAATAATAATGAGAATTTGATTGTAAATCTTAATTATTAATGAAATTTGTACCTTTTTCAGGAGGATAACTGTTTAGTTGTTCATCCTCTCTCGACACCTGGGTAATGATGGACGAAGCGTCCATTTAAACATTTGGTTTGCAGTCTTTTAGTAGAATTGCGGGTCCAACAACACTTTTAATTATTAGCAAAACACTAAACAATTTCGTACACGTTAAAAAAAAATCAGAAAATCTTTTAATAGTAAAAGCTGCAATGTTTTTTTTTCTAAACCAAGCCTAGTTTACGCCATATTTGTTAATGCAGTGGTGCCAACCTACAAATAAACAAATTACATTTGGCAACGTTGCTTGCCACATGTCAATTGGAGCGATTTCGATTAGCTGTTTATGTCAATTTGAAACATGTACTGGTGTGCTCTAGAACAAGAATTTAAATGCACTATTTGTCATTTTAGTGCATGTTTTTGTCTCCAGTGCACTTGCACTAGAAGTCGAGCAACTCTAAACTTTATTGTTCAAATAATGTATAGGCCAAATAACCAGTACTAAATAAAAAGAGATCCATTGAAAATTAGGCAATATCATTGAGATTGCACAAAGGCATGTTTCAAAGTACTGCACTTACTTGATCTGAGTGCAAAGTATTTGATTCGTGTAGGTTCGACAATAAAAATCAAACAGCATTTTACTACTGCTCCAATTTGGTGCACTAAGGTTCACTCAGAGCAATTTTTGCATTCCAGTTAAATGCACCTGATTAGTTCTTATTCGAAAAACATTGCATTCAACTCTACAATCAGTTCGGGATCGATTTTAAACTAGTTCTACTACTGGTTCTAGGAATTTTAGTTCAGGACCAAGTTCTGAGCTTCCGTTTCCTGTTCTGAAATACTGTTCGTAGTTCAATTAGAATTGGTTCTGAGTCGATTCCAAATTAGGATTACTGGTTCTGAAGGTTTAATCCGAAACCAGAGTTCCAAGCTTAATTTTTTGGCAAGAAATCATTCAGAGTGGAATAAAATCCCGAACTGGTTTATACAACAATACATTACAACATTTCTAGATAAGTTTCAGACTGGTTCGAAGTGTGCACTGCACTTTCAGCTGTGTTCTAGTTGCTCTACACTTTTTGAACTACACTTTTTGTATTAAACTTTCTATTCTGCTTTTAGTGCACTGCACTTTGAGCCCTGCACTTTACGCTTTGCACTTTTTGCCCTGTACTTTACAATCTGCACTTTCAGCTCTGTACTTTCTGCTTTCTACACTTCAACTAGCTTCTCCCAAAATAAGAATTCGCAAACGCAATTTAAATTACTGATTCAGAACTATAGTCGTGGTTTAACTTTAAAATCAATTCCGGATCGATTTTAAAGTAGTTTTACTCTGGTTCTAGGAATTTAATTCAGGAATTTTAAGTTTCCGTTTCCTATTCTGAAATAAAGTCCCTTACTGGTTCATACAGCCTTTTAACTGCTCCAATTTGGTGCACTAAGGTCCACTCAGGGCAATTTTTGCATTCCAGTTAAATGAACTGGGCCGGTATTCTGGTTCTCAAAAACGCTCACCGCTTTCTAGTCGCTCGGCACTTTAAATGCAAATTTACCTTGAAAGTGCCGAGCGACTGAAAAGCGGTGAGCGTTTTGGCGAACGAGAATACCTGCCCTGATCAGTTTTTATTTGAAAAATATCGCGTTCAACTCTAGAGTCAGTTCGGAATCGATTTTAAACTGGTTTTACTACTGGTTCTAGGGATTTCAGTTCAGAATCAAGTTCTGAGTTTCCGTTTCCTGTTCTGAAATACTATAGTACTCTGTTCGTAGTTCAACTAGAATTGGTTCCGAATCGATTCTACACTAATAATACTGGTTCTGAAGGTTTAATCCGAAACCAGAATTCCAAGTTTCATTTTTTGTTAAGAACTCATTCACAGTAAAATAAAATCCCAAACTGGTTTATACAACAATACATTACAACATTTCTAGATAAGTTTCAGATTGGTTCGAAGTGTGCACTGCACTTTCAGCTGTGTTCTAGTTGCTCTACACTTTTTGAACTAAACTTTTTGTACTGAATTTTCTGTTCTGCTTTTAGTGCACTGCACTTTGATCCCTACACTTTACGCTTTGCTCTTTTTGCCCTGTATTTTATGCTCTGCACTTTCAGCTCTGTACTTTCTGCTCTGTACACTTCAGCTAGCTTCTCCCAAAATAGGAATTCGCAAACGCAATTTAAATTACTGAATCAGAACTATAGTCGTGGTTTAACTCTTGAATCAATTCCGAGTCGATTTTAATGTAGTTTTACTCTGGTTCTAGGAATTTAATTCAGAAATTTTGGGATTCCGTTTCCTATTCTGAAATAAAATCCCTTACTGGTTCATACAGCCTTTTAACTGCTCCAATTTGGTGCACAAGGTCCACTCAGAGCAATTTTTGCATTCCAGTTAAATGCACCTGATTAGTTCTTACTCAAAAAACATTGCGTTTAACTCTAGAGTCAGTTCGGGATCGATTTTAAACTACTTTTACTACTGGTTCCAGGGATTTTAGTTCAGGACCAAGTTCTGAGCTTCCGGTTCTCTGTTCTGAAATATTATAGTACTCTGTTCGTTGTTCAATTAGAATTAGTTCCGAGTCAATTCTAAATTACTAGTATTACTGGTTCTGAAGGTATAATCCAAAACCAGAGTTTCAAGTTTCATTTTTTGTTAAGAACTCATTCACAGTGAAATACAATCCCGAAGTCGTTTATACAACAATACATTACAACATTTCTAAGAAGATTCCAAATTGGTTTGAATTGTGCACTGCACTTTCTGCTGTGTTCTGGTTGCTCTACACTTTTTCAGCTAGACTTTTTTTACTGAACTTTCTGTTCTGCTTTTAATGTAGCTACTGCACTTTGATCCCTGCACTTTACGCTTTGCACTTCTTGCACTGTACTTTACGCCCCGCACTTTCTGCTCTCTACACTTTATCTAGCTTCTCTCAAAATAGGAATTCGCAAACGCAATATAAATTACTGATTCAAAACTATAGTCGTGATTTAACTCTAGAATCAATTCCCAATCGATTTTAAAGTAGTTTTACTCTGGTTCTAGGAATTTAATTCAGGAATTCTGAGTTTCCGTTGCCTGTTCCGAAATAAAATCCTGAACTGGTTCATACAGCCTAACTGCTCCAATTTGGTGCACTAAGGTCCACTCAGGGCAATTTTTGCATTCCACTTAAATGAACCTGATCAGTTTTTATTTTAAAAACATTGCGTTCAACTCTAGAGTCAGTTCGGGATCGATTTTAAATTAGTTTTACTACTGGTTCTAGGGATTTCAGTTCAGAACCATGTTCTGAGTTTCTGTTTCCTGTTCTGAAATACTATAGTACTCTGTTCGTAGTTCAATTAGAATTAGTTCCGAGTCGATTATAAACTAGTATTACTGGTTCTGAAGATTTAATCCAAAACCAGAGTTCCAAGTTTCATTTTTTGTTAAAAACTCATTCACAGTGAAATAAAATCACGAACTGGTTTATACAACAATGCATTACAACATTTCTAGATTAACTTCAAATTGGTTCGAATTGTCCACTGCACTTTCTGCTGTGTTCTAGTTGCTCTACATTTTTTGAACTAGACTTTTTTTACTGAACTTTCAGTTCTGCTTTTAGTGCACTGCATTTTGAGCCCTGCACTTTACGCTTTGCACTTTTTGCCCTGTACTTTACGCTCTGCACTTTCTACTCTCTACACTTTAGCTAGCCTCTCCCAAAATAAGAATTCACAAACGCAATTTAAATTACTGATTCAGAACTATAGTCGTGATTTAATTCTAGATTCAATTCCGAATCGATTTTAAAGTAGTTTTACTCTGGTTCTAGGAATTTGATGCAGGAATTCTGAGTTTCTGTTTCCTGTTCCGAATTAAAATCCCGAACTGGTTCATACAGCCTTTTAACTGCTCCAATTTGGTGCACTAAGGTCCACTCAGGGCAGTTTTTGCATTCCAGTTAAATGCACCTGATTAGCTCTTGTTTGAAAAACATTGCGTATAACTCTAGAGTCAGTTCGGGATCGATTTTAAACTAGTTTTACTACTGGTTCTAGGGATTTCAGTTCAGGACCAAGTTCTGAGCTTCCGGTTCTCTGTTCTGAAATATTATAGTACTCTGTTCGTTGTTCAATTAGAATTAGTTCCGAGTCAATTCTAAATTACTAGTATTACTGGTTCTGAAGGTATAATCCAAAACCAGAGTTTCAAGTTTCATTTTTTTTTAAGAACTCATTCACAGTGAAATAAAATCCCGAAGTCGTTTATACAACAATACATTACAACATTTCTAGATAAGTTTCAGATTGGTTCGAAGTGTGCACTGCACTTTCAGCTGTGTTCTAGTTGCTCTACACTTTTTGAACTAAACTTTTTGTACTGAATTTTCTGTTCTGCTTTTAGTGCATTGCACTTTGATCCCTACACTTTACGCTTTGCTCTTTTTGCCCTGTATTTTACGCTCTGCAATTTCAGCTCTGTACTTTCTGCTCTGTACACTTCAGCTAGCTTCTCCCAAAATAGGAATTTGCAAACGCAATTTAAATTACTGAATCAGAACTATAGTCGTGGTTTAACTCTTGAATCAATTCCGAATCAATTTTAATGTAGTTTTACTCTGGTTCTAGGAATTTATAATTCAGAAATTTTGGGATTCCGTTTCCTATTCTGAAATAAAATCCCTTACTGGTTCATACAGCCTTTTAACTGCTCCAATTTGGTGCACAAGGTCCACTCAGAGCAATTTTTGCATTCCAGTTAAATGCACCTGATTAGTTCTTATTCGAAAAACATTGCGTTTAACTCTAGAGTCAGTTCGGGATCGATTTTAAACTAGTTTTACTACTGGTTCTAGGGATTTCAGTTCAGGACCAAGTTCTGAGTTTCCGTTCCCTGTTCTGAAATACTATAGCACTCTCTGCTCGTAGTTCAATTAGAATTGGTTCCGAGTCGATTCTAAACTAGTATTACTGGTTCTGAAGGATTAATCCGAAACCAGAGTTCCAAGTTTCATTTTTTGTTAAGAACTCATCCACAGTGAAATAAATCCCCTACACTTTTTGAACTACATTTTTTGTACTGAATTTTCTGTTTTGCTTTTAGTGCACTGCATTTTGAGCCCTGCACTTAACGCTTTGCACTTCTTGCCCTGTACTTTACGCCCTGCACTTTCTGCTCTCTACACTTTAGCTAGCTTCTCTCAAAATAAGAATTCGCAAACACAATATAAATTACTGATTCAGAACTATAGTCGTGGTTTAACTCTAGAATCAATTTCA